CCAAAAAGAAGTTTGTAATTAATCGGTATACTTACACTCATATAGGAAATTCTGTCTTGATCATCTAGATGATCGTCTGTTTGAAGTCCGTTCTCAGAAATCATAATCGAACCAGGCTGATACCTGGAACACTCGACTTTGATAAAAATGTTCCACTGCCCCATTCAAACAAGTAGGTACCTGCCATTGATGAATTTGATCAAACTTCTGAATTTTTCGGGTCGCGATTGGGGATTAGTGGAGTCCCAAGTGGCGCCCATGTCCAGCCGGTAGCTGGGACTGCCAATGGGTGACTCCGAATTGGAAACATCGTAAACCTTATAACTTTATTGAGACTTTAAAGCGTCTCACTACCTATCGAGGTTTATTTTACCTGTTTAGACCAAAAAAGTCGGACGTTCCATTAATATATTCGATTTCTTCCTGAGTGAACACTGGAAGACGGGATCGGGCAAAACCCTCCAATGCGCTTCGGCTTGCAATCCTCTCTATCATTATTTGCGGCCAGTTGCCCAGAAAAACCGGATTAGCCCACCAACCCAACTAAAATTGCAGTTCAACATTTTTAGCCTATCATACACACACATCAAAAAACTTGCCATGAATTGCAGAACGCGCTCTTGAGCCTCAATGTCTTCGGCAGTGTCCGTGGTAGGATCGAACCAATTTGTGTTTAGAGCCATTCCAACCTTTCCTAAAAGCATTTCACTTTTTCACTTATAAAAAGTAGAATACATGTATAAATACACATACACAACAGACGCTACTTTAAAAGTATATCGGAATTTTGCATCCTTCACCCATTTTAGGGTGTAAATAAAAAAAAAATTTGTTGCGATATTTCTTACCGCCGTAATTAGGTTTAAATTCCTCGTCGTAAATATGATAAACTCTGGCATGTGCTTTCAACAATATGTAGGAGCATTGATAAAGACCATCCCCAACCAGGTTTAATCCAGGAGCAACAAGTGTCGATCCATATCCTCCGCTACATACAGCGTGAGGTTCGTTTATAGTAAACCTGTTAACAAATAAAAGCATCACAAGTAATTGCGTAAAAGTTAAAACAATGTGCACATTTAGTTCTGTAATATTTGCAACATCAAGTATATAGAAACAATAATTTAATAAATACAAAGACCGTATCAAAGTAAAACGATCTGGCCAGTGGGCTTAAATAAAACTAAAACATTTAAATAAATTGGTTTATAGAACATTCTAGTTGAAAACAGAACTGATATTTCAGTTAAATTGTCCTGCGATGTCCATTCGGTTTTTGATTTCTTCAAAACCATTTATTATCCGTTGTCCTCAAATATTTTGGTTTTTCATTGGCGTTTGTGTGGCAAACCGTTGGTGTGAGGATTCTAAAACCTGCATTAATACGATTTCATTTTTTTACTTTTTGTTACAAATTGAACAAGCAATCAAAGAGTATAATTATGTTGATAATTTTGATAAATAGCTTTGTTCAATGGGAACATTTCCACCCGATAGCTATTGGAACATATCTGAACCGGTTTCCGATATATCAATACATTTTGATCATTGTTGATAAAAATTTAATTAGCTGCATTTATTCGAATTTTTCATCTTAAAATAATGCCAGCAATCACTTTCTAAAGTTTGTTAGACTTCTTTCAGATCACCCTGCATTGGGTTATTTTATTTTTGTATCAAATATATGCAAGAGTGTTTTGCTTTCAGTTGATTGTAATCATTAAATACACTTATTTTTGGCACGTGATAATCATAGGAAACTTTACGGCGATTCTAAAGTTACATATATATACATATAACATATAGAAGTTTGAACCAAATACAAATACTTACTAGTGATTTTTGTTTTAAATTGGTGTGTAATTTCGGTTTCCCTTGTATAACTTATTTGATTTAACTACATGAATTCAAGTACATATTTTGACCAAATATTTGTGAGAACTAGATATCGACAAAATAATAAAAACATATTTCAAAATGGTATGAAAAATCTCATATATTAACACTTCTAAACGTCTTTGTATCTTTGATGGTTTTGGATGTGTTCATCCAAACCCAGTGGCCCTTTCAGAGTTTTTTTTCAATAAATTATGTTAAAAATGGGAAATGAGAATGAATATATACAGTTAAAATCAAGCTAACTTTTTAGAGTAAAGGTGATTAAATTTCTAACAAACTTGCAAAATATTTAGAAAAACAAAGATTCCTACTAAAAAGTACTACTTTCTGACTTGTTCATCTTAAAAGAAAATATTCAGAATATATTATCAATAAATTACTTTTATGCTTTCCGACCTAATTAGAAGACTTATTTTTTCCATTGTTTGGCTGTTTTTACTCTAGATTCTAAATTTACTTGTTACGCAGCATTGAGCTAAATCTATCTTGTTGTCGATTTTACCCTGTTTTTATTGCTGTATTACTTTGCTTTTTTATTATTAAATGCCAGACAGTGGATTACTAATAGTAGTGCAATAAGAATAGAAAAGGAGTTATATAAAATAAACTTAAAACTAAGTAGACTACCTGCTTTTCCACTAACGCTCCAAGCCGATAGCTGGAATTTATTTCAATATTTTTAGTTTATATTCAGTATGCACAAGGAGATAAATAGATTTTCCAACAGTAAAGTGTACATAATCTGAGCTGCTAAACTACAAGCATTATACTGAAATTTTAATCTCTAAGCTTTGAAATATTTATCTCAATACTTTTCCTGGCTTAGGTTGATGCCTATTTCTAGACGCTTTTGTTATCATTTAATTGATTTCCTTTTACTGAAGTTAATATATTGTTTAAATGGAAACGGATGGTTTAAAAAATCTCATAAAACTCTCAGATTTTTATTTAAAAAATTTTAATTTTCACTCATTTAACTGTTTTAAATTAATATTTCAAATTTAAATTTTTACTCATTTTTCACAATTTTACGATTTCTATACAGACTCTGTAGTTAGTTGTTGAGGTGTTAAATAATTTCTGTAAGCTCATTTTACAACATTAGTGTATCAGTATTGGTTTATTTTCTAATTAACCATAAAAATCAATACTTTCTTCGTTCAATGTTATTTTAGATCCATTTTGATGAAACTATTTAGTCTTCATACTTTGAACCTGAACTTTTCTTTTATTTTGTATTAATCATAGAAAACCCTCTAAATTTTCGCTGTTTTAATGGATTGAAAATATCCGCTCATCATCAGTTGGTATGCTTTTCAAATTTCAATTTTTGGCATTTTCCTAGGAACGCGACTCTTGGAAATTATTGGCTTTTCTTAAACATTACTCACATATAGACGTAGAAAACTTATATGATATGCTCGCACTTAGTTACATAACTTGAGTATTTTGTTTGGAGCGCTCTTGTAAAGCTATTTTTTGCTTAAGTAAGTTCCCCACTAAAATACTAAAATATGTTCTATTCTACCTCTTCTCATAAACCGCGACTTAAACCCTCTTTTTGCATTCGGGTTTTTTAGAAAAGCAGGTGCTGACTTATTTTAATGACACTTCCTTGGTGGTTTTTGGTTTGAGATTGATATTAAAGTGCAAGCGTTCTTTGTAAATTGCTCAATTAGCCAGTATGGGTCGCAAAACTTTCAAATTTAACTGTTCTTACCAGTATTTTACATACGATCCATATTCTTGGAAGAGCAACCGTGCAAAGTCCTCAAAATAGTCCACAAATTGGATATTCAATAAGCCACCCAGTTGGCTAATGTATTCAGGCATATCCCAATGGTATATGGTGATTAGAGGTTCTATTCCAGCTTCTACCAGGCCCTGAATAATGTGTGATCAAAAAGGCTAACTTTGATGGAATTTTCTTTACCTTAATTAATTTAGCGTAATGGTCGATTGCTTTCCGATTGATTGAGTTGATGGTGCCGTTAGGAAGTATTCTGGACCATGCTATTGAGAATCTGTTACAGATAAAGAACTCGGGAGTTACTCAAAATTAATCGATTCTACTGTATTCCTGCCTGTACGAATCTAATCCCAGAGCTTGGGCATTTGCAATATCTTCCTCCCATCTATGATAGGAATCGCAAGCAACATCTCCATTGTCGCGATCTGGAAAATCACATTTTAGTCTACAAAAAGTTTAGTTTTCAAAAATATAAAAGTGTTTCGAAAAAGTGAATGTATGGCCTTAATGCTTCCCAATCATTAAATAACGTAAATAATTTGTATAAAATGCTTCAGTCTCAACCGGAATCCTCTTCCCTTACCATTCAAATAATCTTTTCGTATCTAATTTATCTTTCAAAAAGTTGGTTTTCGATCTTTTTGTTAGGGTAAGACTTGTTTTTTACCTATCTTTACAAAAAACGTGCAATGACAAAAAGTCAGGAGTATTTGTTGATTTTGGTTTCTTTTTATGTTTTATCCTTTGCGAAGAAGATGAAAAATATTATAGTAAGAGCGCCAATGTACAGGATATAATAAAAATAACTATCAAAATCTGCTAAAAATGATATTTGTTTGGGGCAGGTTCCTCTGATTCTTCAGTGGAACAGAAAACTGTATTTTTTTTCACCGTTTTTCAGACATTAACATAAGTATGACGTACTGAACAATTTTTCCTTATAAAAATTAAAAATTACACAAAATTACATTCAAAATATTCAGTGCATGTGCTGTCTGTGACCATTTTTTTTTCATTTTATCACTTTCTCATCGTTTCACTGCTTTTTGCAAATAGGCATGAACAATTTAATAACGCAAAATAATAGCAGCAATAACCCAAATAAGATTTAATAATGTTACGGCAAATATAATTAAATTATTGGTCTCAAAGATCAATTAGATGCACAATAAAACAATTATCATCAAATTTTGGTAGGATTAAAGACAAATTTGAGCTTATAAGATGAAAAGGTACTTTAGCCTGCTTCTACTGACTGCTCTTAAGCATATGTTGAAAAACTTGTTGAAGAACTAAACTTTTGATCTAAGTTAAAGTTCCTATTATTCCTGCGTTCTCTTGCTTGTAAGCTTTCTTCCTGGATTTGTAAGAGTATCAAAGAAACAAATAAATAAATGAAAAAATGTGCTTATCGCTGTTAAATTCTTGTCGATATCAGCAATGTAAAGCATATTGAGAACTACCTATTTATGATGGCTGTTTTAATTTTTCTTTAATTTATTTACACAAGCTGTGTATTTCCTCTATATTATATTTGCGCTTTTTTCGTACAAGCGAATTTAATTAAAGAATGTGACCGGTTTTAGTGCATCTTAACACAAGTGTTTAAATAGTCATGTTTCGGTTCTAAATTTGTGCAATTTTTAAATAATGTTTCAATATTTTATTGCCATGTGCCACTTGTTTAATAGTGCTGTATTATTTAAAATTCACATTATTTTTTTTCCTAATAATTCTAATTTTATGTTAACATCAGTTCATACCAACACGGCATTATTTTTACTTTATTTGCGTATTTAACATTACTTACTAGCATCATGTAGGAATTTGTCCCAAATATTTTCGCCTTTCCCATCTTCATTCCATGCACCTTCAATCTGATAGGCAGAAGTTGCTGCGCCAAATAGAAACTCGTCTGGAAACTTCCGGGCCGCTAAAGTTCTATAATTTAAAAAATTTGGCTTTAGCAAGCATTGAAAATTCTTCGTTTATATGCAATATAAATATTTTCCAATCATTTTTTTTTAATTACCCAGCAATAAATCCAAGGACTATCACGACTTTCGTCAGCATATTCGGCAAAATTAAGGAAACAATTATAATCAACTGGCAACATTTTAGAGCTCACTTCTATGGTGTCATTCAAGGACTTTTAAGTACTTTATCATATTTGTTTTAAGTGGTCCAATAAGTATCACTATTCGAATCCTATATATTTTTTATCTTGTGACGTTGGCTTTATTCTAAGTGTTTTCAAGTTTGTTATTGCATAAACAACAACTGGCTTAAGTAGAACAATTTGAAATTAACTTGTTCTCCCATTTGCATCATTTATTTAATATCTTTCTGGTTCATACTTCCGTATTGTTGCAGTAAAAACGAAGACAATTAAATGAAAAGTACCTTGCCTTTCTAATTTACCATTATTTGTTGTATGTTTATGTAAATTTTTTGAGCATTTTATTTCAAAATGGGGCTGCTATTTTTTAAAACATTCGGGCTGCTAATGTTCAAAAAAACTTTTCAAGTACGTTCAGTTCATGCAGAAGGTTTAAGTTGGGAAGACTTGTTGCGATCTAATGAATCATACTGCCAAATTAATCAAGCCAGGCTATGCTCTAATTGCCATATATTTCGTAAAAATCTAAACTGTCTGACAGTCTTTAAAAACTTGACAAAACTGATACTAAACTTTGAGTGATTACCTAAAACCGAATAGGAACATGTAGGTAATGCTTAAAAATTAAAAACATCTACTGTTATTCTCAGAATCCTTACGGGGGCATAAGAAGATATTGAAAATAAAACACTAAAACTAATATCAATATTTTTATTTCAAATAATTTGTTGTTTACAAACACCCCAGACATCTGTGCTGAGCAACAGTCTTGAACCATCGGGCAGACTGTTTGTAGGTCCTGGTCTTGTTCTCACTTTCAAAATCGACGTCAATCAGCCCAAATTTAACCCTGGAAGACAAGGTAATTTTGGCAAAGGTGAAACAGTGGGTTGATATGAGCTTACGTGTATCCACTGCCCCACTCGAAAGTATCCAGCAAAGCCCAAACAGTATAATGAGTAACTGGGACATTGTCCAGGTAGATGGCATCGAGAATATTTTTCAAATAGCCCTAAAAAACTTGACTGTGAATTTCCATTTGCTCGCTACAGTAAAATTCAAGTACATTCAGATACACATATCTATCGTTATCCTCCAGAGAATCATCGCTGGTCCATCCATTTTCAGTGACAAAAATTTCCCCAGGGTTGTAGTTGTCGTTGATCCAGTTAACTAGTTTTCTGATTCCCATCGGCCAAGAAACCACATATCCAACCTAAGCAATTAGAGGTGTGTGTTAATTTCAAATTAAATTGACTGAAGAGTAGAGCTTTTACCTCTGCTGCTTGCCAAGATGGATCTGAAGTGGCATACACGCAAGTGTCCAAATCGTAAGATGGCTCAGAGATGGGGGCATCATCTGCCCAACCAATTAGAGTGCTGGAATATCTGAAAAACG